ATTGAAGCCAGCATGATTTTTTTAAATAAGTCCTGTGCCAAAAAAAGTCACTTATTGTAGGCTGTTCGCAGAACGCAGGCTAACTTGCCTGAGCATGTCTTGCACAATGAACGGGGAAGCTGGGGTTGTTCTCTATAGCCGAGAAACAACTGGGAACATGGTGGGCAGTACTTGCTCCCCTGTTAACCCGTGATCTGGAGGAGTGCCAGGCGGTTCCACGCCCTGGAAGCCCTCCGAATGAAATTGTTTCCAGGTGGCTGGGCATGCCTTCCGGCTCGTCTGTCCACTGTACCCGGCAAAGCCCAGGGAGCCCCAGTCTTTATTGCCCATCGCCGAGTGGGAAGACGCCCAACTATGTCATTAAGCCCTTCCGCTCTATAAATCTTTAATGTCCCTTTATTCAGCACGTTGCATTTTACAGGGAAAGAGTGGACTGCTGTGCCTCTCATACTGCTGGATGGTGGGCAGGGGAGTGCTGCCCTCTCCCTCCCTGCCTGCTAAGCTGACCGACCCAGTCAGCTTCCCTTCAGTGCCCAGGGAGGCTGGGACAGACAGCACAACAGACTCACTTTGAGATTCTCTTGGTGACCCACTGTGCCCATCAGCATTGTATTATAACTGATCTGTTACTTCTCACTAGTCTGTAAACAAATGTGAAATTAAGACAAAATATTGTTCTAAATATCTGGCTTTTTGAAGGGGGGTGAAGAGACCTGCTGGATGAGAATTTCAGGGTTTTGTTCTGGAGAAGTGGAAGATGGACTGTCAAACTGCAAAGGAAATGCAACAGTGGCGCCTGTGACAGCACACTTCGGCGTGTACTTACTAGAGTGCGCTTTCGCAGTCGTCTCTTTTTCTGGAGGGGGGATGGGGGGGCAGACCTGGTCCTCATTGTCTGTGTTGTCAGTGTTTATCAAATCGCACTCCTTATCCCAAGAAACAAAAAGAGCGAGAGCTCCAGGCTCCGGCAAGTAACATCTGGGATAAGTGACAGGGAACTAATCGTTGTGAGATTGGGGAGGTTAGTCACAAGGAACAGACAAACATTACAGCTTGCTCAAATATTTAATGAGAAAAACAAAAGCTGTCAGGCTGTGTGCCACTCTGTTTCAAGATGATAAGTGAAAGAGAGGTATCATTGAGAGGCCAGGGCAAGGCTGCTTGGTTTTGCTACCACTATCCTGCTTGTCGAACGGGACTAGTCTGCTCTGTTTATTTATTTTTCTTGCCTGGTTTCTTCGGGTGCATTTCATTTGGCATACCTCACAGGGCCTTGAGTGCTTGATACTGGTACCAAAGCTCAGCAGTGCCTATTTTCCACTGCTGCTGTGTGAAATATATACTGTACACGTGCTGAGAGAACTGGACCAGGCAGGCCGACAGTGGGAGATCTGTGAGTGAGTCTGTCAGCTCGTGTGAGCTTGAGCGAGCGAGGATGTTGTCCTGAGACGGGGATCACTGGGGCTGATCACACAGGCATGGTATAATGAAGAGAGTGAACAGGTTATGGAACCTCCTTAAACAAGGACTGCAAATGTGAGAAATGTCTACGTGCATTTGTTTCTGAAGCTGTGTAAAAGGATATATAGGATAGATTCTTTTTTTTCTTCAAGGTGCTGTTATTCTTGGCTAAATTAAATTGGCTAAATTAATTTAAAGTCTGATTCTGTTCTGTAGACAAGCCTGTTTTGTGCTATTGGAAACACCTCCCTGGATTGCTGCAGCTTTATATTTTTTGGCTGTTGTCTTTTTTTGTTAATTGTAATTGTAATTGTTAATTGTACTCCTTGGAATGTTTGGAATACGTGAACTAATCTAGCCTGCTTATTGGATTTATTACCAGTGTCTAATGAAAGGGAACTGTTCTTCCCAAAGTTCATAATAGAAATGTCAAAATACTTTTTCAATAACTTGGGAATGTACTGTAAATGTGCAGTAATTTTGTCATATTGTCATTTGTCATATAGAAAATCTTAGAGCACCTTAGATACATTATGTAGCATACAAAATTTTTTCCTTTTGTCATTCAGCTTTCTAAAAAAATTAGACTAATCTTTTTCATACAGAAAAAATAAATGGTTTAATGCTGCCTTCCCTTTGTGACCACTGCTTTAATACCCATAATCTCCTGTTTAATGATTCACCTTTTTGTGGGTTTTTTTCTGAAGGACATTAAGGCATTAAATGTCAGTGTTCATTTATATATATATTTATAAAACCATTAAATTCCCTACTCCTTAGGCCGGGTATCGCTGAAATAATGAAATGGACAAAGGAAAGAAAATGCTGGCCTCTCTGGACTGTGGACACAGTAGGGATTGGTGCCGGACTCACCTGATGATGTCTGAGATGTAGCAAATTAAAAATCAGCAGCAGCTTTAACAGTATAAAGTTTCCCCTTCAAGCATTTTAATTAGCTTGGGCCATGAATTTCATTTGAGCCTTTGTGAGTAGGGTGTAATAAAAAAAAGCTGAGAAAATGTCATCTGAAGGTGGAAGATGCCTTTTACTTTCCTTTTTTTGCAAAGAAACATATGAAGAGCCCAGGAGACTCAAGTGGTGAATGAACAAACCCTCAGTTGAGCTCCTTTGATTGAACAGATTGAAAATCAGACTCTGAATTAGACTCTGCCTTGCCTGGGAGCTGTGTGCAGTTCCCTTCCCAAGCGCAGGCAGGAGTGATGATTAAGCTGCTGTATTTTTCCTCCTAGACTTTTATGAAGCAAAGTGGCAGTGTGCAGAGCTGGGTGTGCCTCTCAGAGCAACAACCCCATCCAACCCATCACCTCATCAGCTTCAACCTCATTAATCTGCTAAATGCTTTTTTTAACGGTGCAGATGCTCATGGTCCTAAAGATACAAGAGAATAAGAAGTCACTGTTGCTGTCAGAAAATCACAAAGATATTATACGTATATAGAAGCATGCTGCAGCCCTTTCTGGACTGTCATGTCTGCAGGCTGAAGTGTGGCCATTAGCAGAAGGAGATAAAGTCACCAGTCTCAAGCATGCTGTTGCATTTATTATGGGTTTTATTAGGCTTCCCAAACCTACAGTGATTTAGTTAAGGATTAGTTTTTGTCCTGCTTTTGAAACCACTGAGCTGGCCATCAGACCCTCATACTGTAACCCTACCCTTGCCAGTTAATGCAGCTCAGCAGATCACAATCCAATCGAAGCTTTTTAACCCTCGGTGGCCTGATGTGTTAAGTTCTGTACGTTGAGTAAGAGAGTGCGATGGCTAGTGCTGCTCTGCGGACATTAAAGACGGGGATGTGCTCATTTACCCATTTGGATGCTAGTGTTGTAATCTAAGAGTCCTTTTTCAGCTGTTGATTGGAGGAGCACAGGGAATTCACTTTCACAACATGTTGGATGCTTAGTTCATTCCAGTAGACATTACTCTGTACTGGAAAGTCCTTACGGTCAAAACGCTCTATGAACTTTGAGCGAGCAACAGTGGAATCAAGATGGACAGATGTGAACAGAGGTCTGTCTGCAATATACGATATTATGTCACTTTTCTTTTACAGGAAAGCAAGAGTTCAGGCCTTAAAGGCTTAAACAGTCATCAAAAATGAAAAGGCTAGATGGGTAATTTGATCCGCATTCATTTTCTCACTTCAAATCAACTGTAATTGAGCTGTAGGCTCTTGCTTCTCTTGTTTTAAAGGACTTCAGATTCCCAAAAAAACTTTGGTCTTTCCATAGATTAGTGCTTATGATTTTAAAGACCTTGATAAGGGACACTGGTTACCTTCAGAAGGATGCAAAGACTCTCAAAATCAGTGAGGGTTGACCTAGCTCCTAGTTCACACTAGGTTATTAGATTGTGCTCTGTGTTGGTGCATTGCAGACCTGAAACCATGACAATTACATTGACAAAAAAATGCTAAGACAGACAACCATCTGTTGTCTGTCTGTAGGCTTGCCCTGACTTAAAAAAAAGGAATAACAAAAATGATTAATGAGTTTTCTCCTTTCCTATTAATATGAGATAGGTGAAAGATAAAATAAGATGCGAAAGGGCAAGCTGAATTGAAAACAAATTTTTCTTGTAGCAGAAATAGGAGCACCTGGCCCTCCTCTTAGTGCCAAACAGCATCTTGTAAGCTGAATGTCAATCAGGGGTCATTTCATATTCATAGGGAGCTTCTCTGCAGGGTAGCCTGACCCTGCAGTCATGATTGCCGTGTCAGTTTGACAGACTTGGGGCTCCAAAGCAGCAGCTGGGTTTGTTGCCTTTCTGAGAGACAACACTTCACCACCGAGAGGATGCGTGATCCTTCCCTCGTGCAGCTTTTTTCCCCTTTTTTCCCTGCCTGAATATTACATACTCAATAAAAATAAAAATCCCCTTCTGCCCAGCCAGTTCCCATTTTGCATGTGTCAGATGAGCCCACTCTACTATTTTGTACACTCTGTTATGTACAGTATATGAATCAGACACAATAATGATGAAATAATATTTCACTGAGCAAACACCTGAGTGCAATGTACAGTACACACCGGAAATTAGGTAGTATTCTTATTCTTTACTTCTGCAAGTTCTGTATGTTTCCAAAGCATAGCAGTGCACCTGTGTTAACGCGTGTTTATTGGAGGAGCACCGGGAATCTACTTCATCAACATGTGGGATGCTTTGTTCTATACCCCCAACACTCTTTGTGTAAAGCTAGTGCTTCATGATTTCAGTCATTGATACAGTCCCTCTTATTTTCCACTTGTATCTTTGGGTCAGAAATTCACAGCTGGTCCTGAACACTGTTCAGTTGATTGCATCAGGGTTTTAAAACTGTGTACATAAATAGGATTTTTATTTCACACTTCCAATATTTGTGGTGAGAGATAGTGGGGCTACATGATTGATTGACCTACTATATTGGACTAGCATATTATTTATATCTATGCATTCCAGTACAGATTACTCTGTACGGATAATCCACAGGGTGGATTTATGTGTCTCCAGTCTGAGTATGGAGTTTTCCTTTGTTTTTCTAGGAGTTTGGGTTGCAATTGCGCTGCACTCACCTTTCCTGTAAGAGATCCATAAGTCCGAAGTTCCTGGGACTCGTAGGAAGAAATCATTGCGAATGCAGAGTGTCTGGCTTAAAGGGACGTGACACGGTACTCGTTTCAAGGACACCCAACAGTGGAGTGAGGTAGGTGATCCGCTTTTAACCCTCAGAAATTCTTCTGGTTCAACAGGAAAAAGGGAAAGTGAAATCTATTTTAGAATGTACTGCACCAGTGCTCAGTCTCAGCACTTGCTCATGCCTTGTGTCATCACGAACGTGCATTGCAATCAGTTCACAATGGGAATACCATGCATCTGTCTATGCAATCTGCAGTCTCTTTTCACTGCTTTGGTAGGGTCAGTGTGCGCTACAAATGAATAATGTTCAAATGTGTTAAAAAATGTTGCTCGGACATTGAGGTTTGTCATGTCATCAAGGACCTTGGCTCCCCTGACTGTGTTTGATTGCTGGCCCCTGCCTGGTTATGAATAGAAATTAACATCTCTGCGTTGTCTTAACTAATATTACGTCTTTAATTTCATGTTTTAAAGCTAAATATAATGTAATCTCTTTATAGATTATAATGGACTTTTTATACAAAACAATAAGTTTATTTTTAATTCAAAAGATATTTCAATTATATAGGACTTCTTGAAAAGTTTTCTACTAAGGCTAGTTGCGCCCATTTTATTTCGTCTTGTTCCTCTAAAACTGAGTTGGATGACTTTGGTAAAAGACGGGGATTTTCTCCACATTTTTACCAGACACCTGGCCTGCTTCCTAACACACAGTCTGATGAACCAAGCAGGCAGTCCTTGCAGGGGTGCTAGTCGTCGGTAGTGGTCTCTTATCTGAACAGTCATGAGTGACATTATTCCCAGCTGCAGACAGCGACAGTGACAAAAAAGAATGAAGGAGAGAAAAAAAGAATAAACTGCTGTTATTTAACAATGCAGACAGTGGGTAGACACGGTCTCTAACTGCTTCTGAGCAGAGTTGCCCAGTTTTTATTTTTTTGATGGTGATTTTCCCTGACACACCAGCCCAAAACACCCTCCATGAACAATGTCTTTCTTATTGTTAAAGAAAAGCAACATACATTTTTCTTTTATTTTACAATTTTCCAGACGGCAATAAAATTAGACCTCTTCTTATTCTTATTAGGCCTGCTTCTGAAACTACTGGTGCAGACATATACAGTATAGACAGCTCAGAAAATAGCCCTGCTGTAAGTCAGTTTATTTAGACTCACTGTCCAGGCTCAGTTTAGCTCCAGAAGGAGCATGTGACAATGTTTTGCGGTATATTTACAGTATTATTTTTGTTGTTGAGCGGTATAACTGTATCTATCCCCCCCTTAACTTCTAACCCCATGCTGTGCCTTTAACTTATTATTAACCAGTTTAGTCCATCAACTTTTCCCAAGACAGGAAAGAGCTCTGCACCTAGTTATCTAGAAATCCGTGTTAGGGCCATCTCTGGTCTATCTTAGCAATGCAATGGGAGCGGCTCTCCTTTGAAAGCCATATATGTAATATAAATTGGTACAGTACTGTGCTACAGTATGCACTCTGAATGTAAGGAGGGAATGGAAGAATATGAGCCAAAGCAGCTGTAGAAGAGTTGTTGAGTCAATCTCAGGAAAACCTCCTTGTATACAAAGATTTGGCTTTTCTTCGGCTGCTCGTCATGATGACAGCCAAGCACTTGCACCCAGTTGTGTGAAAGTAAATGGCTTTTAAGTTCATTCTTAAGGGAGACTTAGAATTTCAGCATTTTCTGCTGTCTGCTGGACTTGACACAAGTGAGGAGGATAACAGCAGGGGGGCTTCTCAGCTGAGTGGCGTCAGCTGCCTTGTGGGTAGTGAGGAACATGTAGAATAATTTCTCAGCGAAAAGGTTCCCACCCCATGAGGGGCTTTTGAACTTATTTTTGCTGTTTCAGAATCATATTGTGCGGGGAGGGGATGATGAATGTCGATAGAGCTTAAAGTGCATGGAGTTTGAAGTTTCTGTTCAAGTCCTAGAAATGCAGTTCTTCTACAGTAGCTTTTAAGACTTTCCTCAGCTTTTAATAATAATAATTCCTTACACTTATATAGTGCTTTTCTGGACACTTCAAGGTGAAGTTCTTTACAGGTAATGGAGACTCCCCTCCACCACCACCAGTGTGCAGCCCCACCTGGATGATGCTCCAGTACGTTCCCCACACACCAGCTCTGAGTGGGGAGGAGAGCAGAGTGATGAAGCCAGTCCAGAGATATGGATTATCAGGAGGCCATGATGGGTAAAATTCAGGAGGAAATTTGACCAGGACGCCAGGGTAACACCTCTACTCTTCCTGAGAATCATCCTGGGATTTTTAATGATTACAGAGAGTCGGGTTCTCGGTTTTACTTCACATCTGAAGGACGGCACCTTTTTACAGTATAGTGTCCCCGTCAGTATACTGGGGCATTAGGACCCGCACAGACAGCAGGGTGAGTGCCCCCTACTGGCCCATCTAATACCTCTTCTCTTTTGGTTCAGATTTGTTTTTGGGATAGAAATCATTCTTGTTTGTTGCTGTAATGTCTGTTCTAGAGTCATCGAGACCTGGGTGTAGTTTGCAGCAGTGTGACTAACAGAAAGCAGCACTTGCTATTAGGCATTTTCTAAAGACATTTCCTCTTTGCCATGATCAGTCTGAGATAGCCATCATCTTTCTTCTGTTCTTTGTCTTTAGAAGAATCATCTTAAATGTGGTTAATTGTGTGGTGTTAATTAAAATCAATTGCTATCTGTGGTGAGTCAGTGTGATGAAGCAAATGCTTCTCTCAAACAAAAGGAGCAAGAAATGAAATTCAGTCCAGGAACTTTGTAATCTCTTGGAATGAACTTTCTACCAGGTCATTACCAATGTCAAAGACAGAAAAAAACAACAATTTCACTGCACTGTGGCTACATTGCTTTCTTAATATCTGAAAAAAGACTTTAAGCTGAAGCATCCTGAAACAAATGATTATTTGTCACTTGCACTTTGATGTACATCTTAAAAACTTTCTATTCTTTTTGGTTCTGTACATTTTTACAGCTAGAACAGAGAACTTTACAGTATAGTGTGCAATATGAAAACTGTGTTTTCTCTGGTATAAGTGCATGATACAGATGTCAAATACAGTATAAGCACATGCGTTGATACTTGCTGGCTTCATTGCAGCGCACTTTGAGTTAACCAATATGAAATCAGCTGGTTGATAGTAACAATTAAGTGCAGCTATAATGCGCACTTAATTTCATTGGAGTCTGGTATGCCATTGCAATCTATATCTGAAATAGCATTTACCTGCACTATGAAGTGTAACATGAAAGTAACATCCTATTTAAGCACGGTTTCATATACAGTAAGCATATAAACAGAAAACTGCATGCAGTCTGTGATAACTCGTCATTCTCTGTCTTCTCCTGCTGCTTTCATACCAAGTCTGGATCTTTAAAGAACCAGCTATTTCTCTCAATGGGTTGCATTCAACAAACCGCGAGTTGAATTTGAAATCTGTTCACTGTGAAGGTTTTCACACCTGGAGAAAAAGAATAGGGGCACTTCATCAATGACTTCTCTTGATTGGGAGGGACCATGAGACTGGAGAATTGAAAAGAAAAGAAAGAAATCTCTGTGCTTCAATAACTATTCCATAACTTATGTTATGTTTGTGTTTTTTCTCAGGCTGTCTTCAGTCTTCAGGCCAATGGCTGTTAAAGTCAGATTAGAGGCAGTTATTATTGGTGTTACTGTATTTCGAGGAAAAACTTGGTGACAGGATGGATCTCCTTCTGTCCCCTGTGAAAACCACTCTTATAGTTTATGAAGCCTTCTTGTGAAGGACTGAAGGTTATATTGCGGGTAATCGTCTGCTTCGCTTCCCTTATCATGGTATCCATCAGCTATTGTAGCCTCTAATGACGCCAATTTACACATGAATGCCACCAAGGCCAATCAATACTTCCTCAACTCATTCTGTTTTCTCTCCTGCTTATTTCCTGTAGAGCTCCTGAGTTTTTTTTTTTGTTAAAGCAACCGACTATAAAATCTTGATGTGAAAGCCCACTCATCAATCTGCTGCTGGCAGAGTCTTAATGTAAAGCATGGTGTAAGGGGAGAGGGATATAATTTTTAATTGCATGGCTGCCCTGAGCTGAATGACTGTTATAAGGCCAAACCATTAGACAGAGACCTCCCTTGCATGCATAAGAAGACTCATCATTCATTATACAGTACATGATGGGGGAAAAAAAACCTTAATAAACTTTTTGACAGGGAATGACTTTGCTGAGGGCTATGCTGGACTACAATTGAATACAAAGCTTTCCAGAGGGAGGAACATTAATTCACTTCTTAGGTCCTGGCTACCCTAGAACATTATTGCTGTTCATCTAATTTACAGGACCTAATCTTCCAGGTTGTTAGAGGATGTTGGATTATGTACTGTACCTGTGGCATGTGCTGTGCTGTATGGATGCTGGGAAGAGCCCATGGGGATGCACGGAGGATGACTCTGTGCCATCATCATCACCCACTCAAGTAGGCGAGGCTCCTCACAGCCCTGAGAACAGAAGAAAGGGAAAATGAGACAAAGTCATTCGACTCATTTAGTTCATTTGGTTACTAGTACCCAACCGATCTGAGGATCTCATCCAAGCCTTTCTTGAAAGAAGCCAACAAGCCAACTGCTGTAACACCCTTCGGGGTAAATAAAGTCTTATCTATATATCTACCTGCGACAGCATGGCTGTACTATTTGCTCCACACCTCCACACCCTTTAGCGTAAACAAGTGCCTCCTGATCCCAGATTTAAATGCACTTCTGCTTTCCATGTCTTGTGGTTAATGTCTCCCATTGTTAATAGACATCTACAGTATATTATATTCAGTGCATTCTGACCTCACACATGTCAGAAATCTCTCAGGTTTGTTCCTTTTAATTGCGAGAAAATGGATATTTAAGCTAAGCTAGAAAACCCAATGCACAAAAAACAGTTCATGCTATTGTTGGTTTAGCAGTGCATTGGTTCCACTATTGGTGAGTACAATCTTTTTTTGTGCTTGTAAATTAATTTTATTTTTTTGCAAGAATTTACGTTGAATGGTGTTCATTTTTTTTATC